AGCCATGAAAAATATTATACACCGAGAACAGACTTCTAAATGTGAGCTTTGTACGAGTTGAAAGAACAGCTGAGAATGATGTTGTTCAACTAATTATTATCGAATATTTCTATACAAAAAATAATCTTTCTCTCTCTTGTTGACCTCGCAGAAAACAGATCATTTTTTTCACCTACTTGTTGATTCAAAAACCAAACAATAGAATAAGAAAGTTGCCGCTGAGTTTTTAATCTGTTCATCCTTTTTATCATTATTTTTATTTATTTCTGTAAACTGTGTTGTCCAATGATTTTTCATTTTAATATAGCCCACTGATGTCAGAGAGGAAGTGAAGTTTAAATATCCTGTGCTGGTTTACTTTTTGTATTATGACAAGAAAACAAACCAAGCAGCAAAATCGCATTTTTCAGCTTTATACACAGAGAAACTGTTCATGCAAAAATAGCAAACAAAAAATCGCGGTCAAAATATTTTAGCTGTTTTGACGGACAAAGTTGCCTTGTTGTCGGAGGAAAAAACGATGAACACTAAATTGTGTTTTGTTTCAAATTGAAACGAGTTTTGTGCTTCGAAAAAGGAACAAAAATGTTAGTATTCTTTTGTAGAGAAAAACATTCTAATTCGTTTTTTTATCCTTTTTTAGAAAAATAATGTTCGGTAGTGGTACTCCATACTATGCATAATATAAATCCGCTGCAAAATGGAATAGAGTGCTTACATTATCATTTTGCATCGAAGTAGATTTTATATATATGTTAAATATGTATATAGGGATCTTATATTATTATGCAGGTGTTTATAAGTTTGCTATAAGATATCTTATTTTATTCATGTTATCCTGATTCTATACGTATGGTTTTATTTATCTTATTTTATTCATGTTATCCTGACTCTATATGTATGGTTTTATTCCTGATCTATTTGAAACAAAAAAGTTGCATTCAGCAGCTTTCAATTGTGGAATTGCGATCCATTATGAGAGTTATTTCACCAATTTGCTATGTTTGTTATCGCTTTTGACGGGCTGATGAAGAGGTTCCAGGCAACGGAAGGAGTGAGGGGTATGTGTGGTACGGTGAGAGTGAGTCATAGCGCAACAACCCGTGGTGTATGAAAACTCTAAGAAACCTACGGAGTTAGACGGTGAAATGGAGGATCAGCAGCTGGAATTTCACCGTTGAAATTTCGTCATTGTCGTTTTTACTTATTATTTTCGACAAATTGTTGAAAGTCAAATCTGAATTTCCGCATTGTCGAATTTCAGGTTCCTTTTCGACTATTGTCTTAAGTCCTTGCAATTTCGCTAATAGATTTCGACAACTGTCGAAAATCCATGGGATATATTTAACAAATTGCTAAATATTAGTAAAAGTAGTTCAAGTGGCACAATATGAAAGAAATTCGTCATGATGTTCACGTTTATCTAATAGTCGCTTCTGTTAACCCGATTACTCATCATTTTATAATCGTAAGAATCCTTCGTGTTTTGATAACTTCCTATGTACAGTCTAAGAAAAAGTCGTAGATTAATAAATTATCAAAAAGACTTTATTAAGACCACTAAACCTTTTATATCCAAAAAACTAAAAAGCGTTCGCGACCGATGCAAAATGAAAAACGGGCGGTTTTTTATCAAAAATAAAAAACGTTTTCAGTTTTTTGTCGAATAACTAGCTAAAACACTAACGAGGGAACCTCACCAACTGATACCCTTCGGGTGAGCTCATACTTTGCTCATAGGTAGGACTCATAGTGTAGATAAAAACTCTAAAAGGATTCATCCCCTTGACTCTTGAAGACCTGGTTTTCTGGAAAAACAGTTTTTCAGAAACTCTAAAAAATAACCAAAACCTTTTCTTAGTGAGACATGATTGTAGCCCGCACATTTCTGATTGAAATGAGACCTCTCCCAGCTCTACATGACCTTTCTTCTGGCTCCAATGAAGGTCTGATCTGATATTTTCTAATATGAAATCATTCAGAACTACTAATGTGTAAAAAAAAGGATGAGAATTGTTTTCAGATAGAGACCATTGATTATTTTGTTTTCCGTTTTTTAATAAAAAACTGTTGAGAAATCACTACTATCTCCACATTCGTGTGTCAAGAAGTAGCCAATGATAAGCATTTATTAATCATTGACTCATACCGTAAGAAAGAAAATAAATCCATAAAGTCGAGTCGAGAAGAAATGAACAAAGAAAAGAAAAGAACCATACTACAGGAAAAATAACACAACTACAATTTGTTTTCGCGCTACTTTGTTATTATCAAGAAATGTACCAGCGCTTCTAAAAGCACATGAGCTTCCAAGCCAAGCAGCTTTAGTGTAAAAAATTACACATTCTACAATGGCGCTTGAAATATTTTAGGTTATTCTTTGTTTTTTTCGACTAATTCAGCACTGTTTAACGTAGTTTTTGGTCAACTTTCCTTGCCACTAGTCCGTCTGTAGATGTTTTCTCTGTTGGTCTCAAAAGCTGAAAAGTGGTTTCCTTGCTTATTATTACTACATATTTCGTGTTCCATAGAAACACTCTCTGTGCTCGATTGACGCACCCTGAAGACATTTAATATTATCTTCACTTGAAAATTGCATCAAATACTCTAAACGTCTCTAGACTATTCACTTCGCGCAAAGTCTGATGGTCAACTATTGCATGATTCGAGAAATTCATTGAGAATGAACACTCACTACTGATACGTAGAAGTACTTACTACTATACGTAGAAGGGGTGCTCATTCTCAATGAATTTCACGAACCATGCAATACTTAACCATCAAACTTCAAATTCATATTGTAGCTAAAGAAGAGCGGTAACTACATTTCGGTAAAAAAGAAAAATTTTCAAAACTTTCATCTCTCTTTGGTTAGGCGTTATTAGCATTTTACAGAAAAGAAATGAAACACTTATATCTCCCGAATTATCCAATCAAAGGGGGCTAAACTTGCTGAGTAATCCGGATTCAGTAAGACGCACCGCCACACCAAATTCAAAGTCTCTAGCTATCATAGTTCTTGGGTTACGGGGATGACTCTGCTATTGCAAAGTACTGTGCAAAAGACTTTTGCCTTTTTAAAAGTCATGTATTCTCTTTTTCGTATTGTTGTTCGTACATAGCATTTAGCACACAGGTGTAAACATTTTTTACATCATACTTTCCTATCTTCTTTTTTTTTTGTATTATCTGTTCAACAAAACGATGGCTTTTGCGCATTCCATTTTTTTATATATGTTTGTTTTCACGAGGATTGTTACTGATTCAGTAGAACTCATTTCGTCAAATAAACGAAATTCTCTTTGTGGAATGTTTTATGAAAGTTATGGCGATTTTGTCGCTTTTTATCATATTGTTTTGTGATTTTCTTTACTTTGATTTTTATTTGTGAAATGGAACAGATAAGAAAATAAAAACAAAACTATATTGCCAAAAACGACATATACAAATAAAACATGACGACATATACAATCAAGAATAGGAAATAGATGAGCGAGGGAAGCCGGATCAATACGGCTTGGGGGAATTCCTAGAAGATACTGTCACTTCCTAAAGAATAATACAGGATCCTGTCAAATCCTATGTAGGATCATATAGGATCTCGTGGGATTCTATTAAATCCTGCATAATCCTGTCACAGGAAACGATAGGAACTTTCAGGATCCTATTGTAGGATTTCTACGAGTTTTCCTATATCCAGATTACATATGTGTTTCCTATAAGATCCTACTAGGAGTTAGGAGTGTGCAGGATCCTATAAGATCCCATGCCAGGATCCGATAGGATCTAATGGGATCTGACAGGATCCTATTACACGATTCTTTGACCTGGGTCGCCTAACGTAGAACTTTTATGTTACTTTCATCTCTTAAAAGACGGCTGAGTGTTTTTGTGTCAAGAAATCTCACTGTAAAGTTTGAGAATGCTCAAAGAGATGACTGTGCTAGTAAATTCTGGACAGAACACGATGAATTTTTTTCACATATACTATGTAAAAAGCAAAACAATCAATAGCAAATTTAGACTGTAAACGAAAGAAGCAAGCGAAAAAAGCAGTCTGTCATCAGGGATCATAAAGCAATAGATTAAAACAGATCAGTGAACTGCAGTCTTCTTCTAATAATTCACAAATGGGACTAAAATGACAAAATAAGTTTTCTTTTTGCTTTTTCAAATACCGATACAACAGACAAACCGAAAGCAAGTAGAGTTTGTGTATCTCACAGCCACTGAACTGTGATAAACAAAAAATCACACAAATTACAGAAATATTTTCGGCAACTGCAATTGAAAGTCACTGTGGCAATTGTGTTGGATTTTCGGCAATTGTCGAAGTTTATTGTAAGTATGACAATGCGAAGAAAATCATGTCGACTTTCGGCAAATGTTGAAATTGTTGGCGGGCTTGCTTTACATATTCGATAATACTCCCAAAATCCTTTGGAATTTGGACAGTCGAAATTCCGATGGCGACATTCCAGGTGGCGATATTCTAGGATATCAGTCAGAAGGATGTATATATGGATATATAGCTATATATAGTATATATACTATGAGTGATTCTGAATAAAATTAGTACCATTTATTTTCACCAATTTGATCAACAGAAAAAGCAAACGCTTGGGTAGTTGAATTTCATTTGTAGATACTTCCCATGTTTATGAAACCGGCAAACAACCGTCAATTAACCTGGGCTAACCGTCCGGTTGAGCGTGCGCTTCCCGTTCGATTAACCGCGAACCGGCACAAAATGCTCGGTTAAGGGCCCTTAACCGAGCATTTTGTGCCGGTTCGCAGGGAGCAAAGGCTCGAGGTTTTCCCTACGTTTCACTGCTCATTGTGTCACCACTCAGCCTCGTTTTTCGGTTCGAATCACATACGATAAATCACCCTCACTACCCGTTCTCATAAGATTGCATGTGTTTGGAAAAGAATTCATTTTAAACACAAACGTGTATTGTAATAAGTTCTTAGTGACCTATGCTGTTTTCTGTCGTTGTTTATACAGTCGATAATGCTGAAACTAATATCAAAATTCCAATCATCAATTTTTTATTGAGATTGACAGCAGTTACAACTTGAGATGAAGGAATGTTAATGTTGTCGTCTATCACAAGTATTGATGAGACAAATTCATAATTGAAATTCGTGGCAATTGTATTTTTGTCAATCACAATTGAAACTGGCACAGATAAGACGTTGTCTTTCATAAGAGGTGAAGGGCATATTATTTCATTTATATCAAACAATATACCATCCGTTTCTCTATCACCAAATTTACAAATGATTGTTTTACATAATGTGTTTTCAAATCCAGTTCCATACAGTGTCACATTTATTGATAAATTCTTTGGGCCATATGAAGGAAATATAGTGGATACATGCACGACGTTAGTGAAGGTTTGATTACACGCTAAGTCGTATGCATAATCGATAAATAAGTTCCATTCGTTTGTCCATTTCATAAATCCTTCTGTTTTACGGCTCTCGGGAACTGTACTATATTGTATAGAATTCCACGCAAATTGTTTTAAATCAGCTAGATTCAAACCCCATGCTATAGAAGCCAAATAAAAGTCAACAGTCAAGTAATTATAGCCAAAACTTCCTGGATCATCGCCAGCTAATACAATTGGAATACCACTACGATGATAAACGATTCCAGGATGATTGCGTAAGTCAGCGACATAACCTATTACATAGAAAAATAGATTGTGCGCCTTCTGTAGCAGCTCATTTGACATAATTATGATGTTTCGCAGTACTCATTATAAGAAAATAGCACCTTGATCTACATTCTAGCTGCACGAAAAAGTTCATATCTGCTATCCATTTCGAAGTATAAAGACCACGGATGTTTTTCCAATAACATTACTAAAGGCCAGTGGTTTTCAGACTATGAATGAGGACACCGCGTGGGCTTAAGTCTATACTAAAATGAGTCCTTTCGACAGCACTACTACAGTGTACCTTTCAGGTTCAAACTAAAATGTCTGAGTCTGCCATAGTGCAGTGCTGCTTCAGAAGCATGTGAAAATAGAATAGATATCACTCTGCGATCCAGCGCAAATTCCATACTTCCGTGTACCACGGTTCGTATCCGCATGCAATCTCGGGACGCCTGCCTAGCGGCTAAACCTGAACTCTGGGAATCTTAAAGGTGAGTTTACATGGTACATAGGTTTTCGAGCACGCTAAACTTCGTGACAATATTTGTTTCACAGGAAGTTCTAAAAATCCAGTAAAAACCTATATTAGGTGAAACAGCCCATTTTTGAGTAAAACTAAGCCCAGTCAAGATCTACCTGACACGACATTACCGCGAATCGATATTTTTAAGAGGAGCAGGACGATTGGTCGCTAGAAAGATTCCTGCGTTCTGCAGTACTATGAACGATTGCAAGAAGAATCACAACAGAATCAAACAAATCTTTTTTGTAGGATTTCCTCTTTGAGGGAATATTTGAAGTTGTACCACAAATTTAGCTCAGTTATTCGGAATTGATGCTAGTTACCGTGAACATGTACTAACCATATCACTTATACTGTGATCTGGGAAAAGTGGGCACGACGTTACCCCAAGCGACATGAGCGCCAATACAGAAAACGACATTACCGCGAACGACGTTACCGAGAAGACTCGTTTATTGGAAAAGAAGAATAAATGAGCCTGGTTTTGTATTTTGTATATCATGTGGAGAGAGGTGGAGGAAGAGGAGGAGGAGGGCATCGTGAGAGTGAGTTCGAAAAGTATTTTCACACTAAACATATTATCATGATGCGAAACTAGATATCGGTGGCTGTATCAGATAATGACTAGTCATCACAGAACTTCAGTTAACATGATATAGAAAATACAAAACCGGCCTCATTTAGACCTCTTTTTCAATCAATAAATCTTCTCGGTAATGTCACTGTATCACTGCATGGTAAAGTGTGGACAAAGTAGAGCATATGTTGAGATTCTGACATAATTGGGATGGATCTTGACTGGGTTCTAAGTTTTTTAATTTTACTTAAAAATAGGCAAAAACAGGCTGTTTCACCCTTTGCCTGGGCTGTCTTTATTCTTTGAAATGGATAGTAGATAGAACTGATAAAATGGTATTGATCGCTTGTTTTGAAACTAATGTTAGCTTACCTAATATTTGGTTACTTGCGGGACAGATTTCAATCGCGATTTGACGGTCACGAATATACTGATACATATCGGGACGTTTCGCTAAACTAAGACCATGACCGATTCGATGAGTTCTA